CTGTCGAGGAATTTATGTTCTAGAGGAGATAGATCCTGACGAATTTGGAGCAAATTTCCATTTAATTTTTATTTCATCATTAAGGACGACGTATCGGCCGACTTTTTTACTCCTACTCCTGGGTCTTTTTGCGAGGTATCCGTTAGGCAACCTCTAATCCCCCTTCATTCAATTTTTTTAAAGGAAGTAACAGAGATAGCCTGAAAAATAGCAGAAAAATGCGTTTTATGAGAAAATAAAATTTCATGAAAGTGAGAAGCTTACGTACGATGTATCCCTGTATCCCTCGTAGGACCCTGTCATACAAACTTAAACAAGGAATAGACTGCATTTTGCAATTGGGAACTACAATACCGGGCTCAGATTAAAAACGACCCGTGCACCATTAGTTTTCCTATGCACAAGAGTGGTTTTATGGATGGGCTAAGAATTTTAGTTTCTAATTACAAAATGCAGTCAAAATGAAATCGTCAAGCAGAGTTCAAAACTGCCGTGCTTAGAAAAAATCGCATATCTACGTATAGATTTACGAGATTTTACCTCAGCGCTGTAGAAACATTATCGAAACAAGCGCCCAAGCGACAGCAGTTGCAGTCTTGCATTGTCGCGGGTAAATCGACCAATATAAGAGTCGCGACGCGTTGATCTCGTTCCAAGCCACGATACTGACCTTGGCCAAATGGCACCTAATTCTGACATCATGTGGACTAGACATTTTTCGATCTCATTGACTCAGTACCACGCTTTCTCCGTCCTGGGACTTCGTTGTTATGACATTCTAACAGATTTATTAGTGTGTAAATTGTAAAATTGCGGCTTTCACAGTGAAAAAATCATTTTGAAAGTTTAGTAACGCACGCTAAAGTAATATGAAATTTATAATCCTTCAATGTTAGTGAAAAAAAAGATTGAATCTGGTTTAATTCTAAAAATATGCTAAGAACCAGAACACCTCAGAGCAACACAACTTCGTACTAATCTCCCCCCTCCCCCTCCCAAAAAAACTATATAACGAGAGGAAAAGTAAACTTTGATAGCTGCTCATTAGATGAGACATTAAGGTACCTTAGTAATAAAAACTAAAAATCGAAGTATATTAATGCAATACTATAGAGGAATGTTCCTCGAAAATGGCAGAAAAAAACGCCCGAAAATGTTGAACTATATTGTAGTTATGATGCTTAAAAATATGCAGCTCAACAAATATATTTGAAGGCGCATGCTATTAATGTTCATCAGTTGTATCCAGGGCTTAGCATTTTTAATGAAAATGCAATTTTGCACCCACTGTTTAGCTCAAAAATGAAATAGACCACTCGCAAATTATTTTTTGCAGTACTATAAAAAGCGTCTTGCTAAAAACTCAATTTTGACCGAATTTGAGGGAATACGTAAGTTTTTCTGGAAAATATTCCTCCGTAAACTGAGGTCTTTTTTACCATTGGTAATCCAAAATAAATAAAATTAAGATTAGAGAAGATAACAGAACACACTCAAACCCGCAGTTCAGACCCACCAGCCCATTACCTCCATATGCAAATTGTGTTAAAACTGGTAGGTTAATGTTCTGCTCTCAAGGTCTGCCTTGTTGAGGAAATAATTATTTTTTTTTTCATCACATTGGCTTTCCGTTTTGAATGCAAAGCTCCACATTTTTTTTCCAGATACCGAGCAGGCGGTTAATCATCTCCGCACACGCTTAACGGAGGGAAGAAGTGATTCGAACGGAATCTTTTTTTATTCTTTATATGGTGCTCTTTTTGCCACACATTCGAATGTCAGACTGGTTCGCTCCGTAATCCGAATCACTAGTTCAAGTCATTTTTTTGTCGTTCGAACAGTGTTTCACAGAACTGAGGTTTTGGATTCTAGTAGTAATTCCAATCACTCCAGAAATTTCCAAAAAGTGATACTTGAAGATTAAAGATTGGGCCTTTTGAATTCACTTGGCACGCTGCGGCGCGGCAGGCGGGCAGCCAGCGCGAAACGCGCATTAGCGCCTACAAACCTAACAGGGATACTTCACGCGTTGCGCAATGCGTGAAGTATCCCTGTTAGGTTTGTAGGCGCCAGTGCGTCGCCGCTCCGCTTTGTGTTAAACTCTAATATTTAATCTGGCGGAGTCGGCGTTGCTCAACTCATGATGTTGAAATGTTTGCACATCCATTATTGTTCTCATTTTAATTGATGGAGAAAAAAAATTTTGTATGAAAGGAAAAGATAATGTGTGTTTTGTAAATATTAAGGTGGTTCCGTATCAAACTTAATGATTTCCAAAGCACACGAATTTCTACACAATTTCTTATAGCCTTTTATAATCGATGACGAAAAAGCAGCAGCCAGGCGATAAAGTGTAAAGCCCGGCGATAGGAACTATAGCCCGGCTGCATAATTTGTTATCGCTTCGTATAGCCCGGCCGTATGATTTTCTCCGCATTCTACAGCCAGCTATATGATTTTCTGTAGCCTTCTTTAGCCGGCTATAAGAATTCCTAGGGTATTTTGAAGCGCTGCTCTTATCGCCAATTATTACCAGGGATTATTATTTACTTTGCTAGAAATAAAATCAATTGAAGATCCTTTGCAAATGAGGCTGATTGTAAACCCCTAATTTTTTGAAGTGTTAGTTCCCCGAGGAGCTTAATTACTGAAACGAAAATTTGAAATTCAGTATCAGAAGTTTGAGTGGGGCGACCTCATACTATAATAGACTATATAATAGACGTCAGATGTAGGTACATAAACGTTTCTGAAGTAGCTGCTCCAATCCAAAAACCAAACGAGCTGTCGATGGAAAAGAGGTGCTTAAAGAATGACTGAATGCGACCCTTGGCGCTCATCCGACGTTATACTGTTACGCGGTCGATGTCCGAGCGGGGCGGAGCGGTTGCCCCGGTTCTTGACCAGTTCCGGTGTGGTTGCGGAGCACGACGGCGACGCGATGTGGACGACGCCGACGTGGACGCGACGGATCGCCACCCGCACAACACGACGAGGATGAGCTCCAGGCTCACCGCTCCGCCGCGCCGCGCCGCGCCGGGCCGCGGGCCGGGATCAAAATCAGTGAAAGTGCGCGTGCTACGATTATGACATAACCCCAAGAAAAAAGGGAGATGAGAGACCCCATTGCCGCTTTTCCGCGGAAAATCGCTCGCCGGAAAATGAAGTGATTCTCTCTGCACGCGGTAGACAAGCCTGCTATCCTGGAATTGTGAAGACTAAGGGGACTCACTATCCTACTGTGTTAACGCTGAGAGAACAATAAAGCCGACATTTTCGAAATTGAATCTACTCAACTTTTTTAATTGAACTAACTTATTTAGGTGAAACAGCATATCGCAAAGAAAAAGATAAAAAGGAAAAATAATAAACGCAAATAAGAAGATTTACGACAAAGCATTAAATGCGTAAAAAATGACATCGCCAGACAAAACAGCGGTAAATCCACATTATTCTGTGAGAAATCTGTACTTACTGCTGTTTTGAGTAAATTGGTACCCTTTTCTACCAATTTTTGACCTTAACATTTGTTTGTCGTATTTTTAAAACGTAACCAAAAGGCACCCCCACTGCTATCTTGCCCCACACGTAGGGCCAAGACCCTTTTTTTGTACAGTCATAGATGTAAGTCGTCTTTTTCTTATCGTTCGAACGAATTCTGAGAGCCTTTTGTACGATTATTGATAATTTTACGAGGAACGGAAGATTTGTTTGCAAAAAGTTTTTGCTCAAGTGCTATACAGAATCCATTTTTTCAAAATTTCATTTTTGCACTCACTGCTTTCTTCGGTAACACATAATATTAATATATTAATTTTCAACTGATCCGACAGCCCGGTGGAAGATGTTCAGTGGTTTGGTGACCGGTTGTGAGCTTGAAGCTCGGGACGCGGGCATTCTCATTATCCAACTAACCGTGACCAATGCCCCAATAGCAGCCAGCATCGCCACCGCGGGCCAGGCGCTGACCGTTTGTCTACTCTCACTGATCGTCATCCTCATTTCTTTTTGACGCCTCCGTATCCCCCCCCCCCCCNCCCACCCGGGCGAGTAATTTGATTCGAGCAATTTCCCGCTCTTCCGTCTAAATAACGCTCATGCTGGATCCGCACTAGCTAATTTTACTATGAATTCGCTCACAAACCGATCGAATGAACCTCTTAATAGGTTCCAGAAGTCCGGTGAAATCTCGCCGAGTCGAACTGCGTCCGTTTAAGGTTATGTACAGCTTGAGTCAAAAAACATTTCGGCCCCCAGACACCCCCATAAGGGATAATGTAAAAAATACGATTCAGACGAATTCGTGACTCTTTGCGCGGGGGAAAAGCTGTTCAAGTTGCAGAAAAAGGTATGGGTAACCAGACAAAAATTCGACTTTAGACGTGAAAAATCAACAGGAAGAATCGATTTTAACAGAAAGAAACTTTTCAAAAAAAAGGTTTAAGATGACTCTTCTTTATTTATGAAGGGATCACAGGAGTAAGGGCTTCATAATCGGTGGATTTGAAATTATTGCATGAATTGCTGCAAGTGAAGAGATTTTTGAAAATTTACTGAAGAAATTGGAGTCGCCTAAAAAATTACTTAAAGTTATTTGAGATCACTTAATTTGAATGTCCGAGCATATTTTATGTCAAATGGTAAAACGGATAGGACAGAAAGTCGCTTAAGTCAAAATTTCTCTAGGTCCCGTTAAGGTTTGACTTATTAAGATTTCACCCTAGATACTTGGTCCAATGGCAGTCAAAAAAGGACCCATCAGGGGTCAGGGTCAACGGGTCATCAGGGGGTCCGGACCCTCTCCCTCTCGTCGCGGAAAATTTTCCCGCAAAATGTCCTTTCCATGCATTTCAAGAATTTTTACCTTTGGATCTCCCAGGAGAAACTTTTGACCGTCAAACCCGTCCGTTTGTCTCTGCCATTAATGTGGTCATTTATTATTGTTTTTCAGGATGTCACACTTATCGATCATTGACACCGTGTTTTATCTCTGTTCTCAGGTCACCCTTAGCTGCTTCCTATACATCTGTCTAGTCACAGCCCAAGGGTTCTTCGACACATTCGGAGGACCATCATTCAGAGGAGAAGAATTGAGCAGGACTCAGTCCAGGGATCCACGAGAAAACCGAGGTACGTTTCTCATCAGCTGATTTCTTATCATGGCGTTATTTGAGACAAAGAGGAAAAATAAGAAAAGCAGAAGAAAAAAATAAGAAAAAAGCCCCTTTGGAAATGTAGGACATACCAGAAATTTTCATCTCACATTAAAAACGTGCATTTTATTTTCAATTTTGGTAAATCATTTACTTCAACAACTTCTTTAAGAAAATGCATTAATTCATCATAACTACGAATAGTATTATAAATAAATCCATAAGGGAAGAATGAAAATGTGAATTTAGTGCGTAAATATTAAACGAATATCTTTTATGGAAATTTTACATTTCATAGTTTATCCATGGTTGATTCTTTACAATTAATAGAGAAGAACCATGAATAGATTTTCAAGAGCCGGATTAGAAATGTATCTTTTCACTTTGAGGGAGGGAAAGTGCACACACAAATTGGTGAGGGAAAACTGATAGCGATGAAAAACATGCCCGAGAGATATTTTAAAAGAAAAAGAGTAACGGATGTGCAAGGTGGGACCATCAACGATTTACGGAGTTCAGTTTAAAATGAAGCTTTTCACACCCGCACAGTAGAGTGCGTCAAGGGATTCAGTCGGACATGATCTGGAATAACTTTCAAAGCTTATATATTTACTAATGTAAAACGGAGAGGTTAAGAAGTGGTGTCATTGGTTTTTTCGTAAAATTCCCCTCAAGAATCATCCCTTAAAATTTATAATGTGAAGGAATAAACATCAAAATTTGCTGTTTCTGTCAAAAATTGAATGCCCGACTTCTCCCTAAGATGTCCTCCACTGTGCGCCCTACCACCGAAAGAAGGAAAGGTGCACGCAACAAAACAAGGGTGTGGGAGAATATAAAGGCAGGATATAAAATAGTGCTAATTTAAAAATAAATGAAAGTTTCGCCGAGTGATGCAGCGGGAAGGGGATGAGCACGAGGGGGTGGCTAAGGAGAAGATGGGCTGCTGGTAAAAAAGGTCGTGTAGCACAATCGGCACGTAGAGGCCGTTCTGGGCGTTGTGAACAGCCACATCCAGCTCCGTTTTCGGGGCCTAAATCCAATTTTGATTTTTCCGCCATAACCGCGTGCGGCTTAAACATGTTATGATACGTGATCATGCCGCTTTCGCCTCGCTGCTCTAATATCACGAGCTGAAATTTCGTGTCTCGAGTCCAGGAAAGTTTCGGCAGGATTCTGCTGGGATTCTATGTGTAGGGTAGAAATTCATATCGCTCCAATCAGTGTTCGAAACTCACCTTTGAGTTTTAGGAGCCACGTGGCGCATCAACCCCGATTTTTAGGCGCCATTGAATATTTTTTAGGGGCCAAATTGACTTTTTACCTATGTATTACGGCGCATTCGGTGAAAAGTTAGACGCAAGATGTTTTCATAACAGAAGTAAAAAGAAGCTGTACCTTAGGGAGGACAAAAGCACTAAGGATGACATCGCGAGGAATAAAAAAGGCTTTTAGTTGTAGTGCTGAGAATTTCAAATAATCACCTAATATGAAAATTCGGATTTTTAGGGGGCAATTTTTAGGGGCCATGTTGGCGCAGAGGCTTCATTTTTTAGGCACCATGGCCGATTTTTTAGGCGCATTTGGCGCGTTCGCGCCTGTGAGTTTCAAACACTGGCTCCAATTTACACAAACCATACAAACATACGAAATGATAAAATGGGACGTGATGAATTTCACATGAGAAAGATTCAGGCAAATTTGGACAATTGATGTTGGAAGGTCAATTTTTCAGCAAAGCGAAAAAATTCGCTTGGGGACCAAAACATCCAGGTTTTAGCTTTTGATTGTAAACAATTTGAATACTCTCAAGAATATTAGGTCAGTAATTTGAGTCTTGCCCTGCATTTAAATGTATGTAACACAATTGATTCTTGATGAGGCACTCGCCTAAAATCGATATTTTTAATGGATTTAAATGGAAGAAAAATAGTGTTGTCAGTTTGCCTAATCGCCGTTGCTTATGTGCTCTCGAGTGTCAAAGTGCACTTTGACCCCGTAAGAGGCAAAGAAATGAGGAAGAATTTTAAGAATATGTCGCAAAAATTAAAGACGAAGACTCTAGGGAATTTCCGAAAATACTATGTATTAAAAAAAAATGTATGGGTTTCTCGGAATACAAAACTTTAATATTTCTGATAGAGCAGTAGCATTTCTAACAGGCAGGGCCACACCCAATTTCCAAGGTAATTTGGATTGTAAATGAGAGCGTGGGGAAATTTTTGAGCCTTCAGCCAAGGATGGAATCAAAATTGACATCTGTATTAATTTCTCTTCACTGATAAACTCTGCGGACTATTCTTGGTTCATTTTTAGACCAGGATAATAAATTTATAAAAAAAAAAAATAAAAAAATTCTCCCGCGAAAAAAAGTGAAGTCGTTAACATTGAAAAAAAGAAATACATAGCTAATAGTTAACTCGAACTGCACAGCAAAAAAAATGAACTAAAATGTTTGCCTCTTTAGAAATACATGTCATTAGATTCTCTATGCTATTGGTGCTTCAATGGATGAATCAGAAATAGTAGTTCGTGAATCACTCCAACTGTAGGTACAAGTGTTGGTACGATTCATACTGGATAGACAATTTTTCACATAATTTGTTTTTCCCTGTGAGTGCATCCACGGCCCATAAAATTATCATAATATGCGCATCAATCATAAAATAAATATTTTATATACACTGTATCATCTGATTATCTGCTACATCAGATACTCTTTTGAAAACAGAATACAATTTGTTGGAGGTCTTATTCTTCAATTCCTCATTTTTTACATGACTCAATTTTCCCTTCAAGAAAAATTCCCTCAGTATAGCGAGTTTAACTTACTTGCACCTAAATTCCGCAATGAACAGTCCAATTACTGAATCTCGGTAATATTTATCTCCAGTTTAATCAGAGACTGCACCTTCGGACAGTTAGAAAACTTCGAGCCTTGTGAAGGTCGGAGACAAGCAAGAGGAAGAATTAAGAATGTTGATTAAGATGTAGCCTTGGATCGAAAGAAATTGTTTCGCGGACCGAAAATCATTTCATTAAACGGTTATAAACATCCGTGTGATTATCTCAGAGGCAGAGCGCAGTTATTTTAAAGAGTATTTTATTGATTCGATTACCGTTACGTCAGGATCTGCGCTTTAATTGCCCCCATGATGCTTTCGTGCTCACTCAGGTGTAGAGGTACAGTTCGCAGAGAAAAAACTTTATCTTTAATTTGGAATGAGCATTCAGTCGTTTTAGTTTGCACTATTGCGACCTCATGCGAAATGTGGATACTTCTTTTTTTTTTTGCTAAACACTGGCCATGACCAAGTAAATATCTGGGTGGACAGTACATCATTGATGACATAATATATTATTTTACTTACTGAGGGAGGAATACTCTCTCAACATAATATAAGGGTCCTATCTTATTGAAAACATTTTGAGAAAATATATTATTTTAAATCTTGTGTGCAATGTTACGAGTACATTGTTCCAGTCACAATCGACTGATTGTGAAACTCCAAGGAGTTGTCTATTTTTCACTCTTCCTAGGCTACCTCATATTTGTCGTACTTCTAGTTTTTAGGTACTTAAATTCTAAAAATTAGGTATTTACTCGTAGGACTTTTGTTGTATCCCATTTTATTTGCCGCATAATACTAAATAATACTGTGGCTCAAAATCAACGACCTGTCACTTAGAATATAGTTTTAGCAATAAAAAAATTACTTATTTCATGAGTTTTTAATATAAATTTACGAGTTTTTTTCTTTGTTCACAAATCTGGTTTCAGGGTAAATAAAACTGATTGATTGAAATTAATTTAATCGATGGAGAGATGAATGAAACTGATAGTAAAAATAATTTTTGGGAAAAATATCCATCAAATCGATCAGAAATGATTTTAAAAGTTGGAAATTAGAAAATGCGGGAGTACCTGAAATTTTTCGGCCAACCAGAGAGTGACGCTTTTTTCTAGTGAAAGGATTGAGAAGCTATATTCAGTTTCTCCACATAGGTACTCAGTTATTCGGGTGCTACAACTAACGACAACTCCCATGCATTTCTGAAGAGGTGAGAAAGCGAAAATGCCTTCAATTTTGAACATGCAACACGCACATCCGCGGAACACAGATAGTTGCATCAAGGCGCTACGGTCAACTCAGTCTAGTCTTTGTGAAGCGGAAACACCTCCAATAATGTGCATCACGAACATCCAAGATACTAAAAATATAAGCAAAAGTTCAAAACTTCGTAAATTTGTAGGTATTACAAACTTTCGAGAAAAATAAAAAAAAAAAATAGGTTGTAAAATTTATTTACATGGGAGGATAATCTCGAAGAACAACATTTTTTAGTGTTGATTGATGAGCAACATGTTGGAAAATCGATTTGACAAACAGGCCTTAGTTTGTCGATCTCTATCAGTCTCCAAATCGTTGAACACGGCAACCGTCAGCTGCTATCGGAGTGCTGCAACCCATAAGAAAGTGTCGCGAGTCCCTGAGAGTATCTTTCGCGCCTCACTATTTGCACTGCTCTGATGTCCGAGATACCTTGCCTCTGAATTTCTCGATTGATTGGTGATCTGTGATCGCGGCGCCACGCCGGGCATCGATGAAAATCCGAGTTACCGATTCGATACGCCTCTTTGTGCCATGACAGACATGCTTACGCTCCCCCTCCCCTCACTCCCTCTCTCTCGGAAAGAATTCCCGACTCGTAATTAAATTATTTTCTTGGCCAGACTAAGCTCCGCAAAATCGGTCGTGGATTCGAAGATTCGGGGCGTCACAATTACGCAAGCGTGGGATTATCCATTTCCAGGGCCTCCCGTGCTTTATCGGTCATTTCCACGGATTTTTTAATGTCAAAATTATTGCCCCCGAGCTGGAGGGGGGGGGGCGTCTGACTCGCCAACTTTAAACACTTTCACTTTGATGATTGGTGAGATAACTATGTCCACAGAGCTTATTGTGTCCGTTCCTGCGGGGAGTTGATAGGCCCCCTCTTCCCCCGCCCCTTTGCCGCTTTTCATTGAGAAAGAGGCCTCGAAGCTCGGCTGTCTTGGCGTTAGAATAGTCACATTAATGGCACTTCACTGTTCGCATACTTGTGCCCAATTATGAAAGCGGGGGAATATATTTTGCGTAGGTGGATAGTCAGATTAGGCATTTTGCTGAATGTATAGGCAGATATTCAGTTATTCTTCCTTGAATTACGATACTGAGATTTTTTTTTATTTTTAAACAGCAAATTGTCTAACTAGTATGTACCACTCTTCTGAGAAAATTTTGATCATTTCAAACATTTTTTCGAAGAACCTTGGCTCTAGATGAACATTCATCGCAAAATTGCTGGATTTTTCATTAAATGCAGATTATTGACACGTTTATTTTCACAAATGTATAATATCAATAGAAATTTTCTCAGTTTTCACGGTTTTCTTTTTCCAGGACCAGTTCTTTTCCCTCCCTCTGCCATGGCCATCGGACCCGAAACTAGCGGTGTCGTAGTTGGAGCTTCCGGATTTGGATTCGTCCCTCCCGGACAACAAAAAGGTAATTATTAAAATTAGTTCAAAGAAGGAAAAAAAACGAGTTTGAACTATAATAATACATATCCAGGGCGGTTCCTCGTATCTTAAGAGGGATTGTGATGCTTGTTTTCGTTACAAAATTCTTTACTTGTTTCTCTTCAAAATTCAAAAATTCTCAAAACTCTTCAACTCATTTTGTTTGTGTGTCCTCAAAAACTCTTTTTTTATGCCTCACCTTTGTTAGGACTGCACAGAATGTATGTTTAGAAGCAATCAACAAAACATATCTCAATTCTCGCGGGTATTTAATGACAGCCGAGTCCCAACATTTCAAATTATATCAATCAACTGATGATTAGTGATTTATTCATGATACATCTGTAATGAACTAATTGATAAAATCAAATAGGCACCTTTCCATTTCTGTGTTCCAAATCCTCAATTTGTCCTCTACATCTGGCAAAGAGGCTGGTGTTTCTGTCAAAAATATCATGCATCCAAAAAATCTAAGGTCCAACTGCCGAAGTTCCGGTCAGGCATCTGAAGTACTTAGGTATGTACCGGATACTTCAGATGTGTGACCCGAACCCTTCGGTATGTACCTAAGGACCTCATATGCCTGACCCGAACTTCGGCAGCTGGACCTCAAGTTTTCGGATGCGAGATCCGAAAACTTCAGAGATCCACATGACCTCAACTTCGGGTCCAATGCACGAAGTTTTTTTCTCCGTGAGCATTATCCTTTGTTTACACTGGAACCACCGAAGACAAGAATAACGCGGTCAATTGATCGTTCTGTAACAAAGGCGATGGTTGTCAGAATCGGATACGGGTGCGGAAATTCGAGCCGTCGGCAGATAATTAACGTCGGCGATACATAATGAAGTGTAGGTGCGGCCGAAAATCGCCCAGGAGGGAAGGAAACGGCTGTTAAAAAAAAGGAAAACGTGTCGAGGAGGGGAGGCGGAGGAAGAAACTGCAGCGTGAACCGGTGAGCAGGTCACTGGATTTCCTACACGCGCGTTCATTCATTTCCTCGGTCGCGTGGCCACCTTCCGCGTTCATTAATCGCTCGCCAGACCACGTGGTCGGCGCGTCGGCGGGCATCGATAATAAAGGCGCTCGATGCGGTGGAAGAAGAAAAAGAAGAGTGACGTCACGGACGACGCGAGTGACCGGAGAGGAAGACCCATGTTTCCGATTGCACCGGTGACCGGCGGAGGTCAGTTCAGTTGATCGGCCGTGACCGTCAAAGCCCCAAGGTCCGCGGATGAACGTACGCGCCGCCGCTCTTTATGGACTGATTTTATTGCTCCCTTCAGGCCGCGTTGCCACGTTACGTCACACACTATGACGTCACCTTGATGCAGAGACAATATGTTTTTTTAAGACCCCGCAGTAACAGTAGTTCAAGCTATGTAATCGGGTGAGGCACAGTTAAGCGCTCAACGCACGAACAAGGGGCTCCGAAGAAGCTCGTCGATAGAATCGTTGAATGGAGTGGCGTGGCGTGCTTTGCGATGTATCGATTGATTTGCCATTTAAACCCAGGGAAAAGGATCGATAAACAGGATGTTCGCAAGGAACATGCACCTTAATAATCTATTCTATTCCGTAGTTTCTGATGAGGAGACATCGATAATCGATCATTTACGCCTCGCCACTGATTGAATATAACCCTTCAAAGATTACGCGAATTTCCGCGAGGGGATGACTGCAAATGTTGGCACAAATGCATCAAGTATTGACATTAACAGAGCGTTTTTCGCCTTTGGTTTAATGGTTTGCAGCCCCGCTAATCTGGTTGAAAAAATCGACCACGTACGCTCGCGGTTATTCTCGCTCATGCAGTAGAACCGTTTAGTCTAGTTTGAGGGAGTGGATAATCTCTTGAAAACTGATAAGACTTAAGAGACTTGAAGTTGATAACTTGAGAGGAAAGAAGAGGATGAAGAATAGAGAAAGAAAAGGAATAATAAAGAATGCAGAAATCCGAAAGCCGAAGAAGAAATGAGTAAGAGAGGAGGAAAGTAGAAAGGAGAGAGAGAAATAAGTGAAAAAATGTTATAGTCATGAAATTGCGTATGGGTCACATTATGAAATAAACTCTCTACCAAAGCGAAAGAGGTTACTTTCATGCCATGCCAGTTTGCCTTCAATTTTTAGTGTAGGCAACGCGAGCTCCCTCGTGGTCGAATAGTGGTATCACCGTGAAAAGGCGCTTTCACTCGGGACACGCTAACGGGGAGAGGCCACTTTAACGCCAAGTCGGTTTGCCTTCAATTTGTAGTGTAGCGCTCTGCTGTAAAATTGTCTCTTGAAATCTTTCTGAAGAGTTTCAAAATTTTAATCAGTTATCATTGCTAGTTTTATGAAACTGTACATTCGTGCCTATTTAATTTTTCGTTTAAAAAACATAAACAAATAGAAGATCTCAAAGCTTCCCTCATTCACAACAAGACAGTCATCAGTCTACATTGTCCCGTAAGAGGATAACGCTATTTCATGTAGAGCGGCACTCGATATTTTTTCTCATAGTGCTCACTTTAGTATGGTGCCACGCACAGTGGAGCACATCAATGCTGGAAGTCGAACATGAAATTTTTGAAAGAGACTTCAATTTTTTATGTCTATCGCGTCACACATTTAACTTAAAGGAGAGTTTCTCTTTGAAAAGTTATCGAGCAAACCAATGGAACCACTTTAAAATCTCTACAGTTTATATTCATGAAGATTTGAGCTTTTAAAGTTTTTATTTCATGACCGACATCTCCAATTGACTCGCTCCACTGTGCGGCAATCTGATCCGTGATCTTGGCAATGCCGCGTGAGATGACAGCAAAAACAAGCGGTGCAAGTGAAATGTCTCGATAGAAGCGTGGCGCGCGCGGAGCATACGTGCTAGTTCTGCCGCAAAGTGGATCGAGTCAATGGGAGAGGTTGGACATAATTTTGAAACTTTAAAAGCTTATTACTCCGTTGACACCAAATGTTGAAGTTTTAAAAGTGGTTTCATTGGTTTCCTCGTGAAATTATTTTTCAGAGACACCCCTCTATATTTAAAATGTGGCGAAATAAATATGAAAACTTGCAGTTTGAGTCAGACATTTCATGGCGGACCTCTCTGACTGACTCGCTCCACTGTGCGCCGCACCTACAGCGCCACCGCGGCCTTGGTGGCGTGTGCCTGGCATCGCGCTGCCCAGACAAATGCTCCTAATGACCAGGCGTTTTTTTTTGCTCCGATGATGCTCAGATTAATCGATTGTAGGAAGTCTGTTAGATTTACGTGTCACTCTATAGATCGCATGACTGTTTAGTCGCACCTAAATATGGAGGAAGTGATCCAGCCATGTTTTATACATAATGCTCCGGAAGATCTGCCCCTACAATGAAAATTTGAAGTTAATTATTACTTCTATATTACTTATTAATACCAATCATAGACAGGTTAATAAAAAATAGAGCTTGTAATAAAATTTGCAGACTGCAGGCTGAAATAGTTTGCTATGACCCACGCTTACGGACAACACAAGTCGCATGGTCCTGGAACTGGAGCATATACGATCATTTCCGCAAGGAGGATGTTACGTGGCCTACCTCTAAAGTTAAACGCAAAATTTAGGTTTGCGCAAACTCTATAATACATTTCGACGGTGAAACGGGTCCCTCGTTTGCGATGTTTCAGAATCTCCACTCCCATTTTATTTCTTGAAGGAGACCAAATTAATTATTTCTTGACATTTTCACTGAGTTGTCTTTGCACAGAGGAATAACACATGGAAGTTTTCGAGGATCGACTTTGAGTAGTTTTCCATTTTAAAAATGAAGTATGATAGGAAGCCTACGACGTCGCAAACCGAGATTCGTGGTCTAGCAGTGTCACCGTCGATTTGTGTTAATTCTGCTTTTGCATTCAGAACACGACTTTGAAATGATGAAGAGTCCAAAAAAGTGTAGGAAGAGGAAGAAATTCAAGTTTTCTTAGCAAGCTTAAAGAAACTATACAATCCTAGCGACTACGATATTGCAATCCTATTTGTCCGTCATGGGAAAATGGAGCCCAAACACGCACTCTCAACGAGAATCCCGAGCATCCAGGCTCATGAACGCTCGTCAAAGTGAACGCAAGGGTCGCTCAGTTCTGTTTGTATTCCGCCGAAAGTTTCGAGGAGGTTAAACTATCCGGCCCGGAATCACTGGCGGTCAGTCGTGAAAGTTCACCGCCTTTGAGGCTCCCCCTCGGACCAATTCACTCCCGCTTCTCCTAATTATTAATTATTCAAAAGGCGAGGGCTGATTAGGCGATGTCTCCGGGGTAAATCCTCGGAACTTCTGTAGGTAATTACAATTGTAAAGAAGAGAATGAGCAAAACCGGAGCCGGACACTCACCGGACCTTCTTTTCCCCTGCGGTCCTCCCCCCTCCCCCACCCCCGAAATCAATCCGAAGAATCGAGCGTCTCTCTCCGCGGCTATCAGAGCGCGGGAGTTGATGAAGGAGGGATAGAACTTTTACTCCGGTCCCTCTGGACTCAAAGGGATGCATCGGAGGCCGGTCTTTGAGAATCAAGCTACAGATCAAACGAATCCGTTGGCAGCGCTACAGACGCGCGCCCCTTTCCACATCTTCATTTCCGGCGAAAATCAACTTCCGGATCTCGCGCACTGGTGCCAGATTCAACGGCGAACCGGCTGCGATATATAGGGTTTTCCGATGCAGTTCGGCAACAGCTGTCTCGTTCATTAGTTGGTCCGGTGATGATATGCCATTGTGCCTCCATCAAACCCAGATTTCCTTGTTTATGTTCAATATGCAACCCTCCCGATCGATCCCGTAATCGTGTTTTTGTTTCGAATCATGCCGCACGACGGAACAAGCTTTTGGAAGAGCAGACGTGAGCTTTTTCAATAAAAATTCAAATTTTGATGGTTATTTGTCATTTAATAGATTATAAGGAATGTTCCGATAGTAAAATTTAAAAGGAACCCAATGAAAGCACCTTTAAACTGTTGCACGTTTTAATAACAGAAATATAAGCTTTTTAAGTTCCAACATTTTGTCCGACTTTTCTTACTGACTCGCTATTTCTATAAAATAGAATGAACTCTATTAAATGTTAGAAGCAAAGACGCATTATATTTAAAAACTACACACTCAGGTAGATCTACTTTCCATATTACGACCAATCATCCAGAATAATCAATAGGAACGATGAAACTTTACCATTCTTAGTTTTATCTGATACTCTCGCTTTTCTAAAAGTTCCTCGAGGAACGAGTGCTCTCTACGGCCTTTAGAAACCGGCAACAACGTATGAACAACTTCGTCAGAGATGATTTTGATAACATTCGACACAAAGTAAATGCCTTTTTGGGGAGCAACCCACATCAGGCGATGGACAGGACGGTCCACCACAAAACTGTCAAGCGAAATTTCTGCCACTCTGCACCCGTCGTTCGCACTTCAAAATCTTTTGTCCGCGGAAACTCAATCCTTTCAGTCTACCGAAGGTCCGTTTCCGTTTCCGTTGACTCACGGAAACAGTTGCCGATGCGGTGACAAAACTGCAAAGATCTCATTCTCATGGGTGACTCGCGGGTGTAAGATGCGCCTTCAAGGTTTTGATACCATCCGACCACAGTCGCGTTAAAATAGTTGTATCACATTTTAGTCTCATTCATCACAGTTTGGCTGGGCACCTTGCAAAAAAATGCCCTTTATTTTAATGGCTTAACTCGAGGATAGCATTTACAACGTTGCAGAATTTAAAATAGATGTAATAATATTATCGGGCGAAGTTTCCTCGGATTTATTTATCACGAGTGTAAAAATTAGTTTTAACACGGTTTCCCGTGGACCACATATCAGAGGCAAACATTTTTAATCGTTTTCTTTGTCATGAAGTTTGTATATTCCTTTATTTTATATTCTCTTGTGCCTCATATATTTACGTTCATGCGTTGATTTGCTTGGATTTAAGATTATGCCTCAGCAAAAATGCCTTGATAAACTAAATAAATAAATAAAAATAATCATATTCTGTAAAATGAAGAAAACCTTTCTGATTTCCAATTTTTCTCAGATCGCAAGGGGAAGGCTATGTGGTTTTAATGATAGCTCCGAAGAAGTATCGTTCCATTCATAATCTAATTTAATCCAGGGCATCATTTTTATTTTGAAGTATTTATTTTTTTCATAATGTAGAATCATAAATTCCTCCACTCTCATTTTTTCCTGTAGTTGGGATACCATGCGCTCCCATGCGCTCCCATGCTCCCAATTCGGCAATCCTGGTATTGATTCGAGGCGTGCAGAACTTTTCTGACGCGGGAGCGAAATTTGTGGATCTGTTCTGTCAGTTTAATTCCAAAGTTTTCACGGCCATGTCTCTCCGTTGTCGGTTGTGAAATATTTTATTAGCTGTTCATTTTTGTTCGCAATGCCGAAACCAAAACAAGCTATCTTGCCGAAGCTAAGAAAATACACCGTGCTTTACCAGCATAGGCTTGAGCGAGGAAATATCTCCTTATTCCGACAACATTAGCACAAAGGGGCTTGCTCCTAGTTATAAATGGGCAGGAAATCTAATCGAATTTAGCAGGGAATTTATCCACTCGCGGAAAGGTACAAACCCGTCATTAGCTGTCTGAAATATCCTCGAGAAGTTTCGAAAGCGTCAGAGAACTTTACTCTTGCTACCTTTAATTACGTTCTGTGAACAGTCTTAATAGGTGAGGCGAAAATGAAGATTTGGAGGTCAAGACTCTCCAGCCCCCTCTCAATTATCGTAACTTACCGTCAGGGTCCCTGCGCTCCCACGATTTCATTCTTTCCCTTCGCCGAGATTTTGATCACTTTTCATTCTGTATTTTATCAATGAATAGTGTAGTTTACGATATTTTCAGTAACGTTTTTGTGAATTTAAGAGCGACACTCTAAAATTTGGAAAATATTAAAGCCTGAAAATATCAATCGATCTGTTCATGCACTATACCACAACCTTCAATTCTATTTTCAACATGTCGATAAAATTTTCTTTCCGTGTGACTGTTTTACTTTCATTTATTTGCTGTTCCGTTTTTCTCTACTCTATAGCTATATTTATTTATTCATTACTTTACTACTTTTTTATTCATCTGTATGTTTATTTTATGTTTTCTCATTTTTTTTTAAACATTTCTTTTCTTTTTTTCTTTCTTCTTAATAGCCTAGATTAAGCAGACCCTGCCTTTTTGAAACTATCTAGATCTACTTTTTTCATCATAATTGAAGATTTTTTTCCACATCATATCAAAAGATTTTAGCAGCCTCTTCAACCTACGTATCATCTTATGAGATTAATGGGATTGTGTATGTATTTCCAATTAGCATGCACATTTTTTTTTATCAATTTTATTTTGTTGCATCTCCTGCGTATGCTGCACCTGATTACCACTCTAGTTTTTGACGTAAAACCTCAATTATGATTGAGAAACGTCTAATCCAAACGATTGCATGCATCGCACTAGCATATAAACCTGTATAACTTACTTTAGATCCCAGAATGAGTGGTAAAACTATGTAATTTCTATTTTGAAAACAGTTATGATGAACTTTCAAATGATAAATTTCGATAACTTAAGAAGAATAAGTATATTTATAATTTTTTCCCTCTGGCGCCGAAAGAGAGCTCCTTTAAAAATTGGAAAAATCCACTGATCTTTCGTGGAAAAATTCACTGACATGATAAGGGGTGATTTGTGAAGACAGAATTTCGATAGTCCTTTTGCAAGTAAGAGCTCACCCCTGCAATAAGTCATAGATTCTGATCGATTCAATGGTTGTAGCTAAGAGAATGGTCGGGAAACTAAGAGGAAGAAGTAAAATAATGGGCAAAAAAATGATGAAACAACTCCATAGCTTGTTGATTTTGTAAGAAGCTAAGGCATTGTTTCTTTTGTGCGAGGACCCGTGTGGTCAATGGTCGTGGAATGACAGGTGCTCGCAGTTCTGCCAAACTGAACACTCAAATGATCATATTCTCGGATAATTCGATAGTAGTAAACAATTTCCGATCACGATTCGGCAAGAAAAATCAAAGTTTAGAAGAGACAAGTAGAGATACCGCCATTTTTAATCTATTTTAATTGCAACGGGAATCGCAGCTGACAAATCATTTCCCCATAAAAATATTGTACTAACCATTTTAATTCACTGTTCGGTAAGTTTTTCCTTTCACTGGCATCACTGTTGGCCATCATACTGATGCCGCACAGAACCGCATGCACACGAAATATCAATTTCCGAGCTCCGTCGATGGATTCCAAACAATACATCACGCACATTGCGGATGATTACCGGGGGTTTATCCCCGGAGCAGAGGAGGAGGGGGGGGGCTCAAATTCATTTTCCGAAGAATTAATATTTTAGTTCCCTTGATTGTTGGTTTCGTCCGTTATTTCTACTCAAGATCAGCCGATCGGTTATGTCCGAAAGTTATCGTCGCTCCTCTGACGTAAGGGCGTAACTCAATTCCACGTGAGCCCTGTTTCTCATATAACTCTACGTTTTCCATGGCTCATGTAGTTATAGAGATACGCTCGTATGTCAGAGGAGTGACGTTATGTCCTCGTGCCTCCGTCTCAACGCAAGATAAAAAGTTTTGATTTTCATCCTTGGTGCGTCCACGATTTTCCTCAAGTTTTTCATCCCATGACTATTTCATCTAAGTTGCACCACAGAGAGAAAGAAAAAAGAGGTGTTAATTAGGTGTTTTATTGCACATAAATTTCTCCATTTCTTAATGCAAATATTTTTGTGAGTATCAATAGAATTCTTGAAACAAAGATGGACTAAGTTTGTTGTCCTCTCCATGATAAAACTTAGCAGGAAGTTAAAAGTTCCTCCAAAAATAATTCGCAACCAGCTTTTTTGCGGTCCACAGCAAGCAGCACATAGCTTTCACACCTCTAAAGCTTGTTAGATTACATTTAAAAGTTATCAGACAACATTGTCAACATTAAGAAATTTTATCGAGTACAACATTGTTTTCAATTTTGACACACTGCAAATTGGAGCATCCGTTTCAGTTCCATTTCCGACGAGTATGTATTAGATGTAAAGATGCTTTTCCATCCTGTATGCCACATTAGATCCGCTAAGCTATAATTAAGGGAGAAAGAAAAATTGTTACTTTAGTTAGTTTTTCATCGGTACGATTTCAACACATGAATATATATTTTGATACTAATTTGTTTACACCCCTAAATTTAAAATTAGACGTGCGCTAAAAAAATTAAATTAATCTCCGTTTAACTCCACCCCCTTGCTGACCGGACGAGCTCCGATTTTGGGCGGCCCGAGCGAATAAGGAAAGAACAAAACTGGAATCCCGTCTCATGTATGTGACTCGCTGACTCGTGCCCCTGTCAAAATAAATCTTCGCTTTTAAACTGTTACCTTTCATCCTTCCGCTCCAAATTTCGAAACTTTATTATTTATCCCCGTTTCATTGCCGTTAATGTGCTGTTTAGGGGATTGCGCGGCGCGGCAACAATCGCGGAATTAGTATCTAATTGTAAGCCGCAGCCATAAATCCCGCGGGGATCTTGAGGGGTGCGCCGGTTATCGGCTAACCCTTTCCCGAGGTTAAAACCGGTGACCTACAATTCCGAAGATAGTTCCGAATACCTAATGAAATTAGGCAAACCGGACCGCAAAGCCGGACTTTCCCTGTTTGAAAAGACTGTCACACGCACTGACTATTAACCCCCGCAGAATGGAGTGACTCAATGCTTCGGTCCCCTGGATGAGCGTGCTCCATCTCTCTCCGGCTCTTTTTGTTCAGTCGTGCGGGAGAGAGACGGGAGATGAGCGCGGCGGCTGGTGGACCGGACGTTTAGGCTGACCTCTGACCGCGTAGCTAACATCTGGAGCGGCAAACGAGTTGCTCCGGGGCTTTCGGGGCTGAACGCAGGATTTTCGGGGCGCTTTGTGATCGCGGGAATTTGAAAAGGCGGAAGCGCCGTGCTCGGTGCGCGTGTAATGTGCGCACGTGTGCAAACAGCTCGTGTCCCCGCCAAAATCGGGGCGCCCTCCCGGTCAAACTATCGCCAGTAGCGTGCTGGATAAAGGACGCGCAAGCTCGGACATCCGTGAATCCATAAAAGCACATATCGAAACATAAAACTATTATTCTCAATCAGGCGAGAATTCCTAATCTAATAGAAATCACACAATCATAAAAACGCACAGAGACATCGAGATTTTTTTTTTCTTTTAAATTAGATCAGGCGACTTCTTTCGGGAAGTACGATTATATGTTCAACTTGAATAAGAGTTACCTATTTAAGCTTTCATAAGCAGGGGTATATAGAACTCCCTTCCTGGAGTTCTAGGGTGGGGAATAAAGTGTGTCCGCACCTTTCCCATCCAGGGCTGGTAAAAAGGTGTGACCACGCAAAATTAACACAGAACATTTCATCCACGAAAGGAAAATGTGAAAATATACGAATATTTATTCTTGGAATATTCATCTGCCATAGATATTTGTTCGTTGATCAATAATTTAAGTACTTGATTGATTGTATTGTGTGGTTTAAATATCTCTTGATATATACATTTTTCGTGAATTGATTATGTAATTTATTTAACCATTGTTTAACTTTAGGACAATTATTAGTTTACAAATTAGTGACTAATAGTATTATTAGTGGTAGTAGTAGTAGTTGTAGTAATGGTAGTAGTAGTATTTTAGTGACTTATATAAACTAATATCAGGAGCTTTGTGATGTAAGCTGCGGAAGAATATTGTTGCCCCTCTAATGTAAGGGCGTATCTCAATTTCCACGTGAGCCGTGAAGAACGTGGAGTTATATGGGAAATAGGGCTCACGAGAAATCGAGATAATTCGCTACGTCAGAGAGGCGACGATATTTACGGTAGCATGGAATATGCGCGATAGAAGTTCCTTTTTCCGAAGGAAATATTTTTTTATTACGTATGTGTCTATTATTAGTCATTGGTATATGTAGCTACTATAAAACTATCAAGTAGAGTGTAACATAATGTATTATGAAGCAAGATTTACATACATCGTATGATACAAATCCTCTAATTGGACTTCATTTTGCAATTGGGAACCAAAATATCTGGAACAAACATAAAAACGCTTATCTGTACGAGGAAACTAATGACATACATGTTGTTTCTAAAATGAGCCAGAGATTGTGGTTTCCAACGGTAAAATTTAGTCAGATTGATAAGAAGTGTTCAACGGAGCATGTTTTTTGGCCTACCTCAAAAATTGAAGGCGAAATTGAGTCACGTGTAGCTTCCATACCCCTTCCCATTTCTGTGATTTTTCCTACCTCTAAATTTTCAGTTAAAGGAATGTTCTTCAAAAGATCAAGAAAGCCTTTTTTCTTTTTTCTTTTTTCTTTTTCTTTTTCTTTTTTTCTTCTTTTTATTGCTCTTCTACTACGCATGCACTCGAATCAACCTCTAATCTGTCTCGAATTTCGTATGAAAACTATAGAAATACTGAAAAGATAGACTAAGAAAGAGGGATTATTTAATAAAATTTATCAACGATCACTTGCGTCAATTCACTTAGACATTGTTTTTATTGAGTGTTTTTAGTACATGTATGATGATAGTTAAGATGTAGTCTACTTATGATGTACTTGTACGTAAGATTTATTTACTCTAAGAAGTTCTTCATTCAAAATTATAATTTTATATTTTGAAATTAGTGATACTCCCGCCATATCTATTTTAAATTTTTTTCTAACGTGGGTCATTTTTGTTTCAGGATTCGGACATGCTCGCGGTGGTCCAAACTTCTTCGATATGTTCGGCTTCCGCAGGCGATGATCAACGCCACAGCTCTTTTTCTGATCCTCATCTCAGTCAGAATCTCAAAACCTACTCTCTTCCACTTCCTAAAATAATCCTCCTCTCCGTATTATTAAATTAGCCATAAATATGGATACCAGAAAGTATTAATGGTTTGTAGAAAGTGTAAATCTATATATGATAGGAACTCAAGTGCGATATTGTGTAGTTGTTAGTTACTCCAATCTAAGGATCCTAGATTAGTTGTTCCTGTACATAACCTATTGTATTTATTTATTTGTTGCTTAGGTTCTCATTTGTAATATTTGGTTTGTGTATATTAATTAGGTCGTTGAAGCGCTTCTCTTCATCATACGATGAGTATTTATTTTATTTATGAGCGTTATTTATTTGAAAACTTGTTTTTGATTGAGTTTAATAAAAATTGACTCGAACTGTACGTGCGTGGTCTTGAAATTCTTTCACCGTTGTCTTTCGATTTCCGCTCGCCATTGGTGTGTCGGGTGCGGTGACACAACGCTTACTTCATGAGTGAGAATTGAAGGTTATGTGACAAAATCACATTTGATGATATTAGGAGTCCAACCTGACATTCCTCAACGTCGATGCCAAGTAGACGCCAAAAATATCAAGAATTTACAATATTTTAATACAGAAAAAATTATACCCCGATGTGAGCATAGTGTTTCTCATAATTTTCCGGTGAGATGTATAGAAACAACACCTCTGATACTAATAATTCAAGGTTCATGGCATGAAGCCTCACTTGCACTGTTCTATAATGCGCTATGCCGTTTGAAACGTGGAAAGAAAAATGCGACACGCATTAATTTTCATTCAGGAAAACGGAAAAGAAAACCAGTGAATCGAGAAAATATGTGAGCATGTATATATTCGCACTTATGCCACATGGTGGGAACCTCGATGATCCAAAGGGCGCTAAAATTTTGATTTTTTTCTTTCTGATCTTTCAAAATAAATCGTGTGGGTTCTAGAAAAACAGACAAGTAAATCCTTATGATAAGGTCATTTTAATTCATTTCGATTTTTTATAAAAAAAAAAAGTTGCGTAAATGCTACCGACGTTTGCTTTACTCTTTCTCTCATCAATTCAAAGAGTTCGAAGTAGGTTTCATATACGAGAAAAATTCAAGAGAAAAAATGTGGTAAAAAAAAATACATATACACAAATAAATGATAAAACCAATTAGTTAGCTCCACTAATTCAGTTTTATATTAGTGATACATTTAATGTAGATAAAAAGTGAATATTTGAAAAAAAAGGACACAAAAATGAATCCAAAATTTCGGTCGTTGAAAATAAGAGGCAATGGGAAACCCGAAAAGTTAATCTGAAACTAATAATTTTCTTTCTTTGCTGGACTGAAATCGCACTAATGCAATGCTTTAATTCGTTATAATTAAATGCCTATTTATTAAAAGTATAATTCAGATACAGTCAATCTCGGAGTTAAGGATGGGTCTATCGTTGGTAGACGTAGACCGTAGTTCCATTTATCAAAATGAAGTTCATTCATAAATAATCACAAAAAAGTGACAGCTCTAAGGACTGTTTCAATTAGATATTAGAGTGAATGAGGGAGTCTTCAGTGCTGATTCCTTGAGTGGAAGCCTGTAAAAATATGATGATATCGTGCCATCTTTGCAAAGAGAAAAAACCATGATGGGAATTGATATATTATAGTGCTGTTTCACATGAACTTCATGAATAATAATCCAGATAATAATCCTGAGGTAGTGATAAAAGACACTTCTATTAGTGATTACGACTATTAATAATCAGGGGACTATATTGAACATCTCTAATATGATAATTTTGAGTAAAGTTTTTGTCCTTAGTGTGCCTGTGCATGCGCGGTCACCGCTAACAAGATCACAATCACTGCAAATCGTGTGAGAAATTCTCCATTACAGTTCCCATTTGTTCTGTCTCCGAGCGATTGCTTTCTGGAATTCATTCATGCAAAACTGATTGACTCATTCCTCCACCAGATCCTAGTCTTTAAACACGTCAGTTTTCAGGTTAATGAACAGGTCTCCAGAGCACGAAACAGGAGAGGGATCAAACGTCTCAAGGCGCGTGTTAAGTACCTATTTAGATTTTTAATCCAAGTATACGTTTATCAAATAAGTATCCCCGGTGGAAAATACAATAGTTTAATTATGAAGGAATTACATGAGAAAAAAAATGCTACATGGTTAATTGCGCTCGCTGCAAAATCGTTTATTGATGATGAAAGACTGTAGATTGGAAAATAATCATTAGATCCGCCCACTAATCAAATTTTTTATAGAGACCTACATATATTATTGACGCGTCAACGTATGCGCGGAGACATTACAATTTGAAAAGTGCAATGGTGATGTTGTGCATGTGTGAGGAATTTGCGATTTGACCAATGATTTTTATGTAAAAGTTCGCGAGAAACACGATGGTACCACTGGTTTTCTCTGAAATCAACTCCCAAGCTCAAAAAAAGCTCTCAAGTTGAGGCCAAAATGGAGGGATATCTCACGCTATCCTGAGAGTCCACCTCTACATCAAGACAAACTCTCCATGCAAAGATAGGGAGCAAATACATTGACTGGGCTTTATTTGGGGACTCTAAAATTGAAATCACGGCAACCCTGTCAATGTATTTGATCCCTATCTTTACATGGAGAGTTTGTCTTGATGTAGAGGTGGACTCTCAGGATAGCGTAGGATATCCCCTCCATTTTGGCCTCGACTTGAGAGCTTTTTTTGAGCTTGGGAGTTAATTTCAGAGAAAACCAGTGGCACCATCGTGTTTCTCGCGAACATTCACAGAAGAATCAATAGTCAAATCGCAAACTCCTCACACATGCAACATCTCCATTGATGACGTTATCTCTCGCGATATTACATTCGATGCAATCCTATACGCTTCCGTCTCATCCGAGTAGCAATGAATGAGATGTCGATGGACGGGAAAAGCTAAAAAAAAGAATAATGTGTTCGTTTGTCCCTTTGTGCTGAGTCCGGTCCTGCTGACCAATCGCATAGCTATGGCACGCGCGTGAGTAGAACCGTACAACCCACCCGCACACGACCCGAACGCAGAATTTTTTATTTAAAAACCACTCGAGTAATTTATGGTCGCACTCGAAATTCAAGAGCTGCTTGTTGAGGTTTTTTTTACCGATGTTAATTTCGTTTTAATAATGATTTCTGCTATCATTTTTTCCCCCGCATTGAGCTGCATTGTTATTGTAATAGCGGGCCGTTGGTGGCGCCCTCGGCGGTGCGAAACTTTTGATGCAAAATTATGCAACTTCCTCCGATGCGGGGGCGGGCAGGAGCGTGGCATCTGCGGAGCCGGGGGCACTCGAGCGGAAGAGCCCGCGGGGGTCGAAATTCCTCGAAATTCGTGGGGCCGCGTGGCTGAAACTCACCCCCTCCCCCGCTCCGCGATTTCTGGCCCGCTGCACCGCATTCGAGAACGGGTCAAAAACAGGTTTGCCCCGGCCGGCGGCCCGCTAAATTTATAGCTCCGGACCGGGAGCCCTGTTATCACCTAAAGGTCACTCGGGCGCCCCAGCGTACACGTAACCCTCGTATACCCTAAAACCAACCCTATGTCCATACTTTGTTTCTGCTCAAGAGGTTGCCTCTGGGTGGTGCGTCGACGTGCGAAGAAATCGACCCCTCTCCAGTAGCTTCGTCTGTGCAATAATTCATGACAACTTCGGCCGCCCCTTGATTGAACTATTTAAATAAAAAAGAACTGTCCTCGTTGTGACTTGGACCCTGAAACCCATTAGAATCCATGCATGTCGCGGCCTATGTGGCGATGGAGATAGGTTCATCCGCTGTGAATGAAAGCGTACGCTGCTCGGACGTCCGTTGGAGGTGATTTTTGGCATGTCCCAATAAAAAAATTAAACGGAGGTTGGCACACGAAAGCTTTTGTTGAGAGCGTGAAATGAGTTCGAGTGTCGCGAAGGGGGATGTACAAATACGAGAGGTGACCGGACCAGGGAATCTGAATTGAGAGGTCACTGATTTCGGTCTCGTCGGACAAGCTTGAAACAATGTGCCCCGTATTGAATATTAGATTTTATTCGTTGGGGTCTTGTCTGACTCGAAATTTCATAGTCTGTGAAAGCGTGCAGTAACGTGAAAATATATTTGGTTCGACCGTTGTACATGCCACAGAGTTTTAGGGTTTCTTGTCCTGGTGCAATGAAATGACTTATTGCTTTCAGTCTCGACTCATTCATATTTATATACACCCATATATTCCATGCATACACGTGTGCATATACAAGAGGCCATCCTAAGATATAAGGTTATGCATTGATAAAGAAGTGCATTATGCCGTTCGTTCCCCGCGTTTGTTGAAATTGCTAGTTTTTGTTCTTTTTTTTTTTTTTTTTGAACGAGGCACAGATTTTTCAAAGGAGGAGACTCTCTGACCGCTTTTTCTGATATTTTTAAAGCCTTTAAGCTGAAAAGCTTTTAGGCTAAGTCGGATTGAAAAATTGGCATTTGATGGAATGACGAAACATTCTCCAGAATCCTTAGAAATGAGCTTTGAGCGGTTTTTTATATCTTTATCAAAACAAAAAGTAATGTTGTATTAAAATCAGAAAATGATGGTCCATGAGCTGGTAAACAACACTTTTTGCCCTACTTTCACTCTTGGATTTAAATTAGAGCAGATGTTATTTTATTGGTTTCAAATCCTTTCAAGAAACTAAAATGTTGTTGGTCCACGGGCAGCCAAGCCAGTCTTTTAATATTTTTGAAGGGGTATCATGGTATGAATTCAATAGATAGTCACAAATAAAAAATGAATTGAAATGAAAATAGAAGCAAGTGTCGTCATTTGTTCAAGACATTTATTCAATGATTCAATTGACTCCAGTTGCACTTCGTAGGTGATAATGACAACAATTGCACATCATGTACGTAAAACCTTTTAAAATAATAGTCGCAAGAATTATTCCAAACGTGTATAAATTTTAAGGAACTTGAAGCATAACTGCTCCACGGCGAAGGAGTCCGTTGCAATCAGTATCGTCTAATCTATGTTCAATTCTGATTCATATTTTGCTGTATCTCTTTCTTTTGAATTTTTCCTTAGATTTTTGAGCTTACGGGAATGTTTTCAGACTTCCTTCTTACCCTTCATTAAATGTCTAGGTATGGTTTACTTAAATATAGTATTTAATTATTTTCATGACTTTAATAATGTGCAGCTGTTTGCTTTGGTCAAAGGCGCATTGCGTAGAACAGTTACCAAAAACACTCAACTCACCGAGCCAAGGAAAAAAAGTCAACATTTTCATACCGCACAGTGGATAGAACCAATCGAAGAGGTCGGACAAAATTCGGAAACTTTAAATGCTTATAACTCCGTTTATACAAAACTTTAAGGGACCAAAGTGGTTTCA